GAGTGGGAAAATACTTTGCGGAAGGAAACGAAAAGGAAAGAATGAAACAAGAGTTGCGCAATAACAGAATTGCGCAAGAAAGATACAAGAGCAGAATGGAGAGAGAATGAACCTTATGAGCTGCCGGAGAAGGCAGATCATAACAGCCGACGGTCTATGAGATGGAAGCGCGTGTGTTTGCTTTTTAGTGTGGCAGCCTGCATTATTTTCTCGAATTGAAACGGTGTGATCTTACGCATCACCTTACGTTGCTTTGCTCGAGAAAGAAAATTTTCATTTTAGGTTAACATAGTGTTTGATGGAAAGATATTAGTTTTAGCATTTTTATGAAGATTAGTTTGCTGAAGTCGGGGCGTTGGGGTCCTCCTAGCTTTCTGAAGTCTTGCTACCACTGTGCACGGCGTATTAGATGTACTCTTTAATGGATTGAGACCTTTGTAGTAATAACTCGCTTGGAGCATTAGTAAAGCTTGAGAATCGACTTGTGCGATTCTTTCGTGTATACTTAATGAACATCATCTTGTACAACATATATTGCAAAAGTAATAGCAATAATGTGAAACGCTGTTGGACCATGTTGGCGACTTCTAAACCAATCAAACCTTCTTTTTTTGGTTTGTACGAATTTGTACGATTGGACGTATTTCTGACAAATAACGCAAAAAGAATTGAGTTCATGCATGATTTCTGAAGATGGCGGCTGATTTTCTTGGAAAGTGGTAGCTTTGCAAGAGACTCGATTTTACAAAAAAATTCAGGTTTAAAATGTTTTTGATTAAAGAGTCAAGAACGGATCTAGAACTTTTACCAATGTTGATATCGATAGAGCTATTGATTCGCTACATTTTGGTGTATTTTTTGTTCGAGTTTCTTAAACAAAGCCGTTTGTTAACATTCTGAGGGTGTTATTTCTAAAGAAGATCGTTATTTTTTCATCAATAAATAGTCCAAAGTTTTCAGGTCAACACGGAGTGTCCTAAGATCGGGAGATTTTGCACCAAGGTCCGTATGTCACACGGCCGCTCCCCCCCTCTTTTTTCACCTTGGTGCCAAATGCGGAGCACATGTCCAATCGAGCTCAAATTCTTATCGGAGATAGAAGAGCGAAAAAAAAATCGATTTATTTTTCCTCAGAATTTTGTGGCATGATCTTCTATGGGTTTTCTGGAAAACTCCAGTTTTCATCCAGTCACATTATCACTCCTCGAAAAAATGGTCCGATCGAGTCGAAATTTTTACCACAGATACTCCAGATCCTATCTCAGAATGAATGCTGATAAGTATTTTCCGTATATCTCGAACACGAAAGCATATTTTTCAAAAACAAATTTTGTCATTCTGAGATAGGATCTAGAGTATCTGTGGCACAAATTTCGACTTGATCGAACCATTTTTTCGAGGGGTGATAATGTGACTGAATGAAAACTGGAGTTTCCCAGAAAACCCTTAATACAGATAAACTGAACGAAGAAGTGGATAGGACCTTCAACTCAGCTCGACCACATCCTAGACTAGCCTTGTGCTTTCGGTTATCTCTATTTTGGTTTTTACTCCTGAAGAAATACGCTGTACTCGGCATTATATAGTTACGATACCAACAACATACACTTTATTAAAACTTAAGAGTTTTCGACTGATAACTGGAATCATCATATACATAAAAGCGCCGCATAAGAATTTTAAACGCACGCGACGTTGTGTACTTAATATACATTCTCTTATTTTATTTTTTCCAAAAATCCTTGTTTTCGTTTCTGTTCTTATATATTCTGAACTTCGAAACACTGCAATAAGTCACCAAACGTAAGCTCGCGTACTCTAAATAAAATATTTCTTGTTAATCGTGTACAGATTATTCTGGCTTACCTCAGCCTTATATCAATAAATGCAGCTGGCATAACACCAACGACAGGGACGAGCTCAACGACAAACGCCCCAGTCCGTCACTTCCCTTTCTTGATCTTGAACCTCTGAAGAATTCTGTCCGTCAAAATCGGAAATTTTGATCAAATGATTATTAACAGCTTAATAACTAACATTATTTGTTCTAACGTACTCTTCCCGCGATGAACACGTGCAGTTGGGTGAATTAAGCTGAATGCAATGTTTTATAGCTGAAACGTGGAAAAGGTTTTTCTTTTAGATGCTTCAAGCACAAGAATCGCAGCTCTACTGACCAGTACTGTCGCATCCAAAGTCACTACATGTATGAACGCAAAACATAATTGTATTCAAGATTGTCTCGTTTGCTCTCGTTCTAGCTAAGCAAGACACAACCGTTGTGACCACGGTAACATCTACTGCTGTCACCACATCGCTGCGTAAGTTGCACTTCGCATTACATATGAATATGTGTATGAATAAATATAAGAACTTTAAGTATCGCTCAGAGGTGGGCAACTCCTAGAAGACTGTCTCGTTTTCCGTCATTCTAGCTAATCAAGACACAGCCGTTATGACCACGGTAACATCTACTGCTGTCACCACATCGATACGTAAGTTGCACTTCGCATTACATATGAATATGTGTATGGATAAATATAAGAACTTTAAGTATCGCTCAGAGGTGGGCAACCCCTACAAGATTGTCTCGCTTGCTCTCGTTCTAGCTAAGCAAGGCACAACCGTTGTGACCACGGTGGCATCCGCGGCTGGCACCACATCGCTGAGTAAGTTCTCCTTTGGATTACATATGAATATGCGTATGAATAAATACAGGAACTTTAACTATCGCTCAGAGGTGGGCTACTCCTATAAGATTGTCTCGTTTGCTCTCGTTCTAGCTAAGCAAGACACAACCGTTGTAACCACGGTGGCATCCGCTGCTGGCACCAAATCGCCGCGTAAGTTGTGCTTCGCATTACATATGACTATGTGTATCAGTAAATATAAGAACTTTAAGTATCGCTCAGAGGTGGGCAACTCTTACAAGATTGTCTCGTTTGCTCTCGTTCTAGCTAAGCAAGACACAACCGTTGTGACCACGGTGGCATCCGCTGCTGGCACCACATCGCTGCGTAAGTTGCACTTCGCATTACATATGAATATGCGCATGAATAAATATAAGAACTTCAGGTGTCGGTTGGAGGTAGGCAACTTCTACAAGATTGTCTCGTTTGCTCTCGTTCTAGCTACGCAAGACACAGCCGTTGTGACCACGGTGGCATCCGCTGCTGGCACCACATCGCTGCGTAAGTTGCACTTCGCATTACATATGAATATGTGCATGAATAAATATAAGAACTTCAAGTGTCGGTTGGAGGTAGGCAACTTCTACAAGATTGTCTCGTTTGCTCTCGTTCTAGCTAAGCAAGACACAACCGTTGTGACCACGGTAACATCTACTGCTGTCACCACATCGATACGTAAGTTGTGCTTCGCATTACATATGACTATGTGTATCAGTAAATATAAGAACTTTAAGTATCGCTCAGAGGTGGGCAACTCTTACAAGATTGTCTCGTTTGCTCTCGTTCTAGCTAAGCAAGACACAACCGTTGTGACCACGGTGGCATCCGCTGCTGGCACCACATCGCTGCGTAAGTTGCACTTCGCATTACATATGAATATGCGCATGAATAAATATAAGAACTTCAGGTGTCGGTTGGAGGTAGGCAACTTCTACAAGATTGTCTCGTTTGCTCTCGTTCTAGCTACGCAAGACACAGCCGTTGTGACCACGGTGGCATCCGCTGCTGGCACCACATCGCTGCGTAAGTTGCACTTCGCATTACATATGAATATGTGCATGAATAAATATAAGAACTTCAAGTGTCGGTTGGAGGTAGGCAACTTCTACAAGATTGTCTCGTTTGCTCTCGTTCTAGCTAAGCAAGACACAACCGTTGTGACCACGGTAACATCTACTGCTGTCACCACATCGATACGTAAGTTATGCTTCGCATTACATATGAATATGTGTATGAATAAATACAGGAGTTCTAAGTATCGAGCAGATGTGGGCAATCCCGGCTAAGTGCAACTCCAACTCCGAGGATCTCAACTCAAACTACATTTGAACTCCGCGTTGACATCGAATCGTTCTTTTTCCTGCAAGGCCGCCCGCCGTCTCCCTCAGAAATGGTGATTTTTGGTCAGAACATCGATTTGAGTATTTGAGTATTTCATACAGCGTTGAATACAACGTTCTCTCTATATAAAAGTTACACCTGAAATATTTTCCAAGATTTTCCATAGCGGTTTGTCATAGAGGATTTATTCTTTTTTTGTTTAAAAGAGCAAAAGAAACTACACCGTGTGACCTGCGCCGATTTTTGAATTAGGTCTTAGTTTTTTATCAAATTAAGAACTTTTAGAAAATCCGGAAGGCTTTTTCGGGTTCTGGATGTTGTTGGTTGCCTGCAAAACCAATAAAGGCTTAATTGGAAAATCGGTTAAGAGGCACACTCCAAACCTACAACACGATGCACTACTCCGCCATTGAGTTGCTCACGACGGAACGTTTTTCGGTAAACTTTTTCGATTTCGTTCGTTCATATGTCGTTGGATAGAATATATTGAGATAAGAGAAAGCCTAAAAGAGTTCAGACCCATGTCTCTGTAAGCCCGCGTTTCTGGGAAACCAGTTTTTCAGTATCTCTGAAAAATAACAAAAATCTTTCTTAATGAGGCATGATTGGGAATCGCAAAGAGTTGGGAGTTATCTCATTTTCGTCAGAAATTTGCGGACTACAACCATGCCTCATTAAGGAAGATTTTGATCATTTTTCAGAGTTTCTGAAAAACTGGTTTTCCAAAAAACCGGGCCTTAAAAAGACATGGGTCCGAACTCTTTTAGGTTTTCTTTTATCTCAACATACTCTAGCGAATCACGTATGAACGCTGCAGACGCTACAGAAATAAGAAATTAATTTAGGGCTTTTCTTGTAAATTCTATAACTTTGCAGAGAAAGGGCGTGCAGAGCTGGGAGATATCTCATTTTAATCAGAACTTTGCGGGCTACAATTATACCTCATTAAGAAAGGTGCGGATTATATGTTAGAGTTTCTGAAAAGCTGGTTTTCTAGAAAACCAGGCCTTCAGAGGGCTAAGGCAACCCCTATGGCCATATTCGTAATCAGCATGGTCGATAAACTATAACCCATCAGATTTCGAGGAAAAAGCGTTTACTCACCTCAAAAGGTTCCCTCGTAAGTGGTTTTCTGTGGCATTTACTTCCCTAGACAAAAATTTGTCTGCAATTTTGATAAGAATCTTACCCGATTCTTATCAAATTCTTATATAAGATTACGTAGGAAAATGAATGGCGTTTGATAAGAATCTGATAAGAAAGTCATACGAATGTCATAAGAAAGTGATGTTCTTATCTGTTTCTTATGGACTTGTTACAAAATGCTTATTCTTATCGAATTTTGATAAGAAGTTTCTGACACACTTTGTCCTTGCAAGACTTTTCAGAAGAGTTAATTTTAAATTAGTCTGGACAAGGAGTAATTTAACGATTCCATTTTACTCAGCGAAACAGTATGAAACTCAATGTTTGATTTTATGGGACATTTATGTTTCATTTAAACTACTACCCAAGCACAAAAAAAGCAGCTAGCATCGCTCGATGCATCTAGATTCACTAGATACAATGATAGATGCAGCTAGCTGCATAGGAAAGAGAGAAAAGTTGAATCGAGCATTGCTCGATGCAACTAGATGTGGACGGTGAACTGCTAGATGCATCGACTAAAAGACATGGCGATTTTTAAAGAATAGTTAAATGACTGTGCATCTAGTAAAAGTCGATGCAGCTAGCTCCATTTGATAGATGCACTAGTAAATCCAGCTAGATTTATTAAGTTAGCTGCATCCCCAAGCGTGAATTCGTAAGCGAAAAAATCCAGATGCACTTGCTGGGGTATCGCCCGATACTCCAGCAAAAGTATCTAGATAAAATTGGTCTTCAGACTAAAAAATGGTGTTTTGTGCTTTTTATCTTGAAGATCTAGTTGTACAAAGCTGAGCCTGGCAGATAAAATTTAGAAAACTAAATTTGTTACACATTCTGTTCCAAACTCAAACTTGAGAAGTACTTTGTTCGTGGTGGGAAACTGAAAATTAGCTTTAAAAAAGTGGTTTTCCCGAATTTTCACTGTGAAGGAGATGCTTTCCAAACTTGAACCTGGAAGATGAAATTTAGCAAATTAAATTTCCTCAGTTCTATCTGTTAGGCTCAGCTTTGTACAACTTGAGCTTCAAGGTGCAAAATGATAACTACTGTTTCTCCTCATTTAGAACAAGGTGATTACTCACTACAGTAGTTGCATCTAGCTGGAAATCGCCTTACGCTGGATGCATCCCTCGATTTTAACGATAGGATGGAATGGAATTGACTTAAACCGCTATTCAAGCAGATGAATCGATCGATATATCCCACGATGCATCGCCCAATACATTGTACGATGTATCGGCAGCTTTATCGTGCGATTTCACGCGTGTCTCATCTGCAGGCGATATACAACTAGATTCAACACCCGATATATTGCCCGAGGAATCGGTTTAAAATCGCTACTAGATACATAACTAGATAAATCTAGAAAAGAATCGGCTGTATCTAGATGTATCGGCCGATAACCCGATTCAACTTTTTCTCTTTTTTACGCATCTAGATGTATCGCGCTTTGTATCTAGTATATCTAGCTGCATCGGGCGATATCCGATACATTTTTCATGCTTGGATCGATTATTACTAGATGCACAGTTATTTAACTATTTTTTAAAAATCTCCAGCGTCTTTTGGTCGATGCATCTAGCAGTTCATCGTCCACATCTAGCTGCATCGGGTGATCCTCGATTCAACTTTCGTCTTTTTGCTATGAAGCCAGCTGCATCCACTCGTGTATCTATTAAATAGAAAAGTGTAAAGATATGGTGGTGCAATAGAATAAATAAATACACTAGTAGATTATGACCGTAAATTTTTCTAAAAGAAATAAGAAAAGAACCCAAAAAGTGGTTATTTAAAGTGTGCTGTAGTTATGCTCTCGAGAGTGCTCTATCTTTAGCTGTCGATATACTCAGAAAAGAATTCAAAATCTAAAACTGGTTAATCAAAATATAATAGCGAGATGATCTTTATTATCACAGTCCGTAAGAGCTCAGTGGATATAAGAGCACGGCATGGCATGCCGTAGGTCCTAGGTTTGAATCCTAGACGGATCACATGATTTTTTTCAAATTTTCGGTCGGTTAAAAACCGCGGTTATAATCGGCAGTTTTAAGGTTTGAGGAAAATGCTTTCTAAAAGGAAACAAAAAGGTTCTAAAATATCTTTTGTATACTGTCTTGTAGAGAAATGTTTTGTCTACAGAACTGCCGCTTTAAAAAATGTTGCAACTCATTTTTACGAAAATACAAACCATTTATTATGAATTTTTGAAAAATACGAGAAAAAAACCGATGCACTCCTAGTTGGCAGGATCTCTTCTCGAATAGTGTACAAAATCCTCCTCTCGTAATCTATGTTATGTAGGAGGGTATTCCGAATTGGAGGATTCTGTGTAGGTCGAGAACATTACTCGTGGGCACCATACTGATATGTTTTGACATAAATGTTCGAGCAGCTTTTTGAAAGTCACCAGATTTGTACATTTTGTAGATGTATGTTCAAATGGAACATGGAATACCACAGCAACAACAGTTGCTAGCTCTGGACTCAATACACCAATTGGTTTTTATTTGGATAAAATACACCAGATAATGTATATTACTGATTATGGGAATAATCGTGTTTTACAATGGACCGTTGGTCAACCAAGTGGAACTGTTATTGCAGCAGGAAGTCAGTTCCATTCTATCACCGGCGTAGCCGTTGATTCAACGGGCAATGTATATACTAGTGACTCAAATTTAAATACTATACTCAAATTTCCACCGGGGTCCGATGAAACAACAGTGGGTATGGTCGTTGACACAGTGAGCGGACCGCAGAATCTCTTTGTCGATACAAACGATGATTTATATGTATCAGACACGTATAATAGTAGAGTATTAAAATATCCGCAGCGCAAAACTCCATATCAAATTGTCGCAGGTTAGTACAGCATTCAAACACACAAGTTTTAATAAAATTCCGAAGTGTCTCTGGAAGAAAAACAACTTGAGGAAAGCCGTTCTTCGTTTTAACATTTGTCAATTTTCTGTTGGACAGAGATCTGACATATTCCGTTGGGTGTGTATAAAAACAAGCTTCAGCTCAATTGAAGAAAATTTTCGAGAATCAGTAGGATCGTCGGTTGATAACTTGGTTTTCTTGAAAAAGCATCTTGAAGACTTTAAGAGAATATGCCTCAACTGAGAATCGAACCATATACATTGGCACTCTTTAGTCGCGAAAACTATCGTGTAGTTTGTGTCCCTTTACTTTGAAAAGGAAATGGTACTGTTGGTTCAGATTTAAATACACTGAATTTCCCAATCGGTGTTTATGTCGATCCAAGTGGAAATCTCTATGTGACCGATTATGGAAATAATCGTGTTCTGCGTTTTCCACCTGGATCTAGTAATACAACAAATGGAACAGTGGTTGCGAGCGGATTGAATGGTCCAAGAGATACGATCGTGGATCAATGTGGAACTATATACGTGACGGATTCTGGTACGTGACGTTCTGGTAACATCTATTCTTTCCTACCTTAGCATGCATTAACAGTAGAATTTACTTTCCTAATAGGTGCTTACACTTGACTTTATCTTTTCGCATTCGGGCTCGTTCTAAGCGTTCACTAGACTGGCCATAGCCTTTTCGAATGTTATATAGCGCTAGAGATGAGTTTTGCCTTTATATCTTTACGTCTATGCTAAACGGCTCTCCATGCTTTGTTGAACGAAATCAACTCTTAATCGCTAAACTTCTTTTAACTTGAAAGGGAGCAAAACAGTACAACGTTGGTTAGCTGGTGCATCAAGTGGTGATACAATTCTTGGTACCATCGGGACTTCATTTTCGCCAGAGGGAATTGGTTTTGATTCAAATCAAACTATTTATCTAGTTGATAGAGCAAATAACCGTATATTAACTTTTCCTATTATATCTTAGCAAGTATAACAACATCGACGTCTATATGAGCTTTACTGAACTTATTGACTATCTGAATGAAAGCCTTGACGATTTTGTCCGAAAGTTATTTTTCTTTTTATGGTTTAATAAAGGATAGAAATGTACGAAATGTGGTAATGGGGCGCGAAGCTGAGCAACCACACGGCGATTGACGGATTTCTAGATCTATTACAGCTCACAACACTTCAGGTATTATAATCTCAAAAATAGCAGCGTCGGTAACTAGTTGGAAGATTTTGGGAAAATTCCTTGGAGAGAAAAGGAATTATTAAAATGGATACTATACGGCTTTGCCTTCTCTTTCGCTTCATTCAAAATCTTGATTGTTTTATTTGGAAGCTTAAGAGTGACTGTGATTGTGGCGGGTAAATTGAGCTTCCTTGCGAAAATTATTAATTGACAGCCAGAACAATGTTTGACTTTTTAAACCTGAAGCATCTGTAGAGAACCACTAATATCTATCCGTACTCCCTCTAGTCGCAAAAACTATTGAGTAGTTAGTTGTCCTGTACTTTGAAAAGGAGGTTACAATTTAAATCAATTGAATAGTCCAATCGGTGTTTATAATCAGCGGATCTAATCCGACGCTTGTTAATGTCCTATATACATTTAATATCAGTTACACTATAGGAACAAACTATAATTGGTAAACTCTCACCATTTATAATGACAACAAATGGTCTAAATCGTAGTATTATATTTGATACGACTAGAGTTAGTTTAGTTAGTTTTATCCACATCACTTTTACTCTTTTTTCATGCTTTGCACATCGTTTTTTTTCCATCTTGCGAATGTTTTGGGCTCAATTGTGCACTTGACATATTATCTACGTTTGTTGTACCAGATTTATTTTGCGTATTCATGTTCGTTCTTGTTAGCGTTGTTAAGTGATTCGTTTTATTTTATTTCGGTTGTAATTTTTCTAATTGATTCAAATGTTTCTCAATCAAATTACCTTTGAACTTTCCGTCGTCTTTATTCATCCATTTCAAGTCTTCTTCATGTCCTCTTCGTGATTCAGTTGTTTCTAGATACTAGTTAATTTTGAGACTTGAGTTTTAACTTCAAATAATTATAAATTTCAATTTTCTGTGGTTTAGTTGGCTCGTAGGATGTTATCTCTAATTTTGTATATAGTTTGTTTCAATAGTTCTTGATTTTCGTGTAATCTTGTACAGTTCTTCAACTTCACTCCATTTGGGATGCTATGTTAAATATAATTTTTCCAAGTTTTTAGAAATTGGCGTCGTTCGACAGTTCAACTTTTCAACAGTGAGTTTTCGACGCTGTCAAATTTTTCGCTCGGAATTCCACAGTATCGAAAACTTTTTACTCCAAATTCGACAGGCTTTCGTAATGTCGAATTTGGAACGAAAAACTTCGACACTGTCGAAATTCCGAGTGAGAAATTTTCCACCGACTAGAACATCGACAGGTTTAAATCGGGCAGGCCCAACGAGGGCAGGCGTCGATGTTGTTATACTGCCCAACTAAATAAAGCGATAGAGAAATAAATTGTCTAAATATAAGAAGGACAGGTAACATTCATCAGTCATTACAAGCTGCAAAGTAATTTTAGGAGGTTTGAATAAAAGAAAAGATTTCTTTCAGTTCTTTTTAACGCTATTAAATACATATTGTTTAAAGCGAAAACGAGATGCGACCTAGCATTGCCGAGATGTTTATTAGTATATTACCCTAGGGAGTGATCAGGTGGTCCTTCAGTATCCTGATCAGATCTCTGCAAT